CCCATTGGATGAAGTGCCGACCCCACCTGCACTTCATCTAATGGGGAGGTGCCGGGTGTCCATTATGCACACCCTTATGTACACCCAGATGTACTTTTAGCACCTCTCATTCAATTATTATAGGAGCAGATAAATTATTCAACTTCATGTACACTTATTTAATTACAATATTATTCATTTAATCTACGATATAACTCCATTTGTCTAAATGTATATAAATTATTCTTTTTCTATATTCATTGATTCAAATTAATTAAATTTCATGTTGGTTCATGTACACCCCCTTGTTTAAATGTATATAAATTATTATTTTTCTATATTCATTAATTCAAATTAATTAAATTCCATGTTGGTTCATGTACACCTCCTTGTTTAATTTATATAAATTATTATTTTTCTATATCTATTAATTCAAATTAATTAAATTTCATGTTGATTCACTTACACCCCCTCTGTTTAAATGTATATACATTATTCTTTTTCTATATTCATTGATTCAAATTAATTAAATTCCATATTCATTAATCAATTTGATTGTTCTCATACAATTCGATTATTGATTTGCGTGCATGTTTAATAATTAATATTCAATTAAATCTATATTGAAAAATGAAAAGTAAGGTATTATTGAAATAATTAAATTGTAGTAGGGTTAAAATCGTTCAGAAAATGATTCTTACTTAATGCGATATTTAATGTATTATAGATGTGTATTTAAAAAGTTGGTAAAAGTTTGGGCTTATGTTTATGATATTTTATTGTGTAAATGTGTGGTTAAAAATGAGTATGTAGAAAAAAAGAGTTTTGAAAGAATGAAAGACAAACAAAGGCTTAATAGTACATCATTTGCTTTTCTTTCACATTTTATCTCTGAAAAAAAAATTTATTTTTTTACTTGGCAGAGGGATAAGAGGGAAGAAGCTTTACGCCTGGCACATTTGTCCGCTGAGAAGCCGCATTTTTCTCATTGCTTAGAGTGGCTTCTTTTCACGGTGTTTGATGCTGAAATTTCCAGGTGATCTTTAGGGACTTTGCATTATACCAAGCATGTGGCCTTTATTTCGTTATATACTTGCCATAAAACTTCAATAAATTATGCCCCTATTTTCTAATAGTAATTTTCACCCAAGCTCATTTTCAACCACACATTTCACAGGACCCATGATTTTTATCATCTTTTCAACTACATATTGCATTAACTTTTATCAAAATCTACTAAAAATCTGATTTTTAGCTAGACCAAACAAGTGTATTGTACATAGATAGTGGTCATTGATGATATTCACTTAATTCCTTAATCAATTGGAATAGTCCAACCAATACTTAAACATGAGTTAAACCAACTTTACTTCCACCATGTTGGGAACATTAAAATACTATTACATAACTCCCCTGCGTATTTTGATTGAATCAATTATTTCATCAAGTCACGTGTCCTTTTTTTAACTTTTTGACGTGAGATTCTATGATTTGTTCTTGTCTTCTCTGTGTGTGTGTTTTGCGGGCTTTTCTTAAGAAAGTTTAGCGAGTGGCAATTGTTTTGAAAAACTCTAATTTCGCTAAGAAAATACCATGTTGTCAAAATCGGACAGGTTGATTCAACTGAAAAAACCAGGAACAGTTCAGTAAACTGGTTTGTTTATGACTTAAAATCATTTAAACTAATAATTGGGAAAAAACTGGCCAAAGGCAAGGTTGAACCACAAACTGGTTGACCCAGCATCGGTTTTTCTGGTATAGCCAGTTAATTTTTTAATTAAAAAATGGATCTTCTCAGGCCCTATAACTAATGTCAAAAGAAGTTAAAGACCCAAAAAGTTATTATTTCCCTACCATTTGCTGCATTCTTTTAGTTTCTTCCTTGACCTTTTTCCTTTACCGGTGTTCAATTTTCGATGTGGGATTATTGATTACAAATGGAAAACCCTACTTCAAACCTTTTAAAAAAAATTGGGAATACTTCAAGAAGTATAGTGCTATTTTTATTTGAAAAATTGAACCTCAAAATAAAATATTTCTTGAATTTGATTTTTCTTTTTGTTACACTTCTATTTTTCTCATTTATTTTCTATCTATAACACACTAAGCCTCAGTTTGGGTTTCATTTTTATAACTAAAAAGTTACTATTAAAGAAATGAGTGGTGGATAAGTGGTAGTACTTGTGGGTTTTACGAAATGTGTGGTTAAAATTAAATTTTGACTTTGCAAAGCAACTTTTTAGTTCAATAAAAATAAAAAATGAAACCCAAACAGAGGCTAAAATGCTATATAAATCACATGTTGAAACTTTAGCTATATTTATCGCTTCATTTCTATCGAGATTAGAAAGGGATGCAATGAAAATTAAATGTGGCCAAGTTTTAGTAGTTTTTTATCTACATATATTAATTAATTTGAAAAAATTAACTTATTTTTTGTTGAAATTTTATGGTATATTTAATTTTTTATTATAACTGGTTAGATTTCTGTTTGACCCTTTTTCCTTTTTCGGGTCAATGCCTGAATCGGTTTATAAACAGAGAAAATAAAATGGATTGAACATCCAAAATGATTTGCTAAAAATTTTCTACAGACAGAATGCAAGCAAGAACCAGACAGCTGCTTCAAATCATGCTGCAAATTCTTCTCTTTTGGAGAAGACGTGCCATCTAATCAGAAGCTTTCCCGAATATTTTGATGTTGTTGTCAGTGTTGCCAGAAAAACTGATGGTCGACATTGGGCAGATTTGTTTTCTGCTGCTGGGCGATCAACAGAGTATGTTACTCATCTTTTTGTTGTATCTCAATCCTCTTACTATATGAACTATGAAGTTTACTGCAATAGCCTGTATAAACTTTTGGGGTATGCAATTTAGGTCCTTTCTTGTCTCTACTTCTCTTATTATATAAAGATTACTGCAATAGCTTGCTTGAACTTTTGGGGAAAGATAAATCCGTGATCTTTTCATACAGAATGTTATAGATTCTGATCAAGGACTTAACTGAAATCACCTGAATAGGTGAAAATGTTATGTTTCATATTAATTAAATTACATAATTGGAGTAACAAATCATGAATAGTTGTATATCTTATATTGTAAAAAAAATTCTATTGAGACCTTGTTCACACTAAATCCATTTCTGGAGTTTTTAATTTTTCAGAAAATAATGATTACTTAAAGACGCTCATACATGATATCCATCTTAGCCTAGAAAAGCAACCATGTGAACTCACTCCTCAAAGTTAAGTTTAACAATTATTTTCCAGAAGGAAGAACTCTGTAGAAAATAGCTGAATTGAAGTTCAGAATAGTATTTGTCACCATTATTAGTGCTTTTTGCAGAAGAAATATCTATTTCGTTTGGTAAATATCCGTGTCACCATCATAAAGAATATTTGGAAACTTAGCGTATTGTATGTGATGAATTATATTTCAATGGAGCAACTATTATCTTATCTAATGCCATGCCAATCCTGCAGCTCTGAAGGGTAGAATTTTTATAGTACTATTTTGCTTTTGGTATCATGCCAATCTTGCAGCTCTACACGTTAGGATTACTCTAAGTGGAATTATAAAAGTATGAACTTTATTAGGAAAGACAGTGTTAAGAAATGATTTCACTTTTATTCAATTTGAAGTATGATAATTTATTATTCTGCCTAGTCGATTTGAAAGATGATTTGAGTACTGGTTTCCTTTCGTTTTCAAAAAATTGAACTTGAAAATGATATTTGACTTTTTGGGAAATCTTGATGTGAGAAGCTATGGCTTTGTCGTTACATTGATGATGTGATCAAATTATATTTCCAGGTTGTTTGAGGAATGCTTTCAAAGAAGATGGTATCGCACTGCAGCCTGCTACATACTTGTAAGTGCTAACAGAAAGATCATGGGTTGTTCAAAAACCTTTTGGTTTTGAACTATCATGGACTCTGACAACCCTAATTTTTTCCCATTTTCATTTATCGAGTGAAAAGAAAGAAGGCATCTGGATGTAAAAGATCTTGCTTGCAGTATTTGCTAACTCATTATATTAGGGGTTGTTTACAAAAAAAATTGATAATTTTTACCAGATTTTGATACAAGTTGATGAAGTACTTGGTTGAAAAGTTGATGACAGTTGTGGGTCCATGAAATATGTATGCGGTTGAAGTTAATTCTTGACTTTGACCTAACTTTTTAGCCACTTTTTAAGCTGTACCAAACAATCACTTTAGTGTCTTATATTCTCAGTGAAGCAATCACTGAAAGATACAACTATTGATTATCTTTTTCTTTACATTATATTTTTGTTAAACTTCCTTACATTGCTAGGCACCTTAGCAGAATTTGCAAGTTAACTTATTTTTTAATCATTATTTGTCGGTTAGACAACGTTTTCTCATTTTTTAAGCATTTTCATGCCAGAAAATGCATTTGAACTGCTGACTCATTGTTCTGTAACTGTGGGTGTAGTTTAAATGTACAGAATATATGATATTATTGTCCTTGACCTGTGGTAATGGAATTGTGTCGAAGAATGATTTCCTAGCCATGTGGTCTCATTGACAGTGGTGCCTTAATTTATTATAAAGTAGCTTCTCTGTAACATCTTCTGTTTACAGATCATCATGTATGCTGATCTGGGTCCTTGTTTCTTTTGCATATTGCCATAGGTTATTGCTAAGCTGGAAGGTCCGGCTGTGAGTCAATATTGTGCTTTGCGTCTTTTGCAGGTAATGGTGTGTTGTATCTCTAATCTCTTTCACACACATTCCTATATATTTGTGTGTGTATAGGGGGCAACTCCATCTCTTACATGGACATGCCTATATATATATAGGTTTACATTCGGACATGTCAACGGCCTACGTAGAAATGCAGTAGGGCTATCAGGCTTGACTTTTCATTTCCTGCAATAGCCCTACACGTAACTATTGTTTATGTATGTTACCAGAAATTTCTTATCTAATACAATATATTTGAATGGTCTTCGGAGCCTCAAACTAATTAATTTATTATGCTAGCTCCTGCTACCCAGTTGCTCTACACCTGCTATATAGCATGAGTATTTTCTACACGAGAATACACATTAGTCCCATCATACTTTACGTTTGATGTGTCTGATTTTGGACAATAGGTGTGGCACTAAGTAAATATGAATCTTACGCTGATGTTGTTTCTTAAGACATAAAGATACTTAGGGAGTATTTAATGTTAAGAAAACTAATGTCACATGTACTTATTACATAGAAATGGATAATTTGAACTGTTATCAACTAATCCACTAAATAATTTCTTTAATTACTGCAAATGATGTAATGAAAAAAAATCATGTTGTAAGAACATATAACTAAAATTAGACAACTACCTTCAAAAGAATTTTTCCCCTTTCTATTGCTCTTTAATGAATTTATGAAGATGCTTAGACGCACGTCATTTTTTTCAATTTCCTTCACAAATAAGTTGTCCTAGAGCAATAATATATGTAACTTATTACTTTAAAGCAGTAGCTGTTAAAATGCAACATGTATATGTGCTTCTGCTTATCTGGCTCTATGCATCTTCTGTTTCCTAACATTTGTCATACATTCTGATGAGGAAATCTTCGTTGTTCAGGCAACTCTTGATGAATCTCTATACGAATTGGCTGGGGAACTTGTACGGGCTCCACGTTACTTTACATGCTTTTCAGGAAGGTTATCATACATATATTCTTGGATTAATGGCCTTCTCTTTTTGTTTTTGTGGTTATCAGGTAAGGTTTCTCCTAAGATCTGGAAGAGAATATGAATCTTCTACCATGGATTCTGAGAATCTTTCCCCTAGATTCTTGGGCTATTTCCTTTTTCCTTCTAGTTTTAGGAGGCAATCCGTGGATTTGAAAAGGTAAACGTGGTACCTAATAGATTACTTTGCAATCATTTGAGTTCTCTATTCTAATAATTTCAAATGACGCTAACAAATGTTTTCTCTCTCTCTTAATAGCAGTTCCTCGTTTAAAGAGCAGAGTGCTCATGTTGCTTCTGTAAAAAAAATTTTGGAAAGCCATGCCAGCTTTTTGATGTCCGGGAAAGAGCTTTCAAAGCTTGTTGCATTTGTCAAAGGCACACAATTTGATCTAGTCGTAAGAGAGCCAAACTTTTTTAGTCAGGTCACATATACTCTGCCACTATTAAAAATTTGAGAAAGCATGATGATTATTGCAGGAATTTCTTCAGCGAGAAAGATATGGAAGTGCTCGCTTGGAGAATTTCGCTTCGGGGCTTGAACTGATAGGGCAGAAGGTAATTTATCTGGATATAATTGTTCTTGTGCACCTTTTGTAGGTCAATTCATGGTTGTGGATGATGGAAGTTTGCATGGAACCCCACACTTTCTTGGTAGTGTATGCATCATCAAAATCTTGCTCTGTTAATTTATTGACGCGTTTGCTTAACAACAGGAAGTCACTAGTAATTTTTGTGGCCCACTTCTTGAGCATCTATAACTTTAGTAGTCTTTGTTTGTGGTTTGTTCAAATTGGTGCTTAGACTGGTGTTTGTAGATGAAAATAAACCGAGCTAAAGTTGACACAGCTAGCATCTTGAGCTCCTTAATTTTGAGCTCAAACTTCCACTTGAGATCTATTATGCTCTATTCGGATGCTTGAACCTGGAAAATACAAACACTGAAATTCCAGTTTAGAAGCAAACATCAAACGTGTAATCCAAAACAGTGTAACAGTAAGAATTAGTTGGATAAATGCTCTCTGTCTTTTGTAAATTCATAATACAGAATCAAGGAGAAAGTAAAGTTGATATTTAGACAAGATGGAACAACCTTAAATTACCCAAACGAAAGTAACACTAAAAGAAGAAAACGTTGTATACTTAAAACAATAAACAAAATAATTATGGTGCTCCAACTCGAATAAATAAACTGGTTAGAGCAGCTTCAGCTCACTTCAGAGCAGACTCAAATCAATTGGCTCGTTTGTACCCCTACTTTCGTGGTGTATGCTCTGTTTCTCTCTCGTGCTATTGCTTTTGTATGCGTCCCTGATAATCTCTCTCCCTCCCTCCCCTTCTTTCTTTTTGGAATAGTATGGTGTCTCCTGTATTTATATTAGTTTTTTATATGATCTTGGTGTAGAATACATCTGTAAAGGGAGATATTAGTTTTTCCCATTACCATAATCCGAGTTGAACATTAATTTTGACGTGATTTACATTTTGAAGTATTTTTCAAGATAAAAAAAAAGCATATGATTTTGATGACCGGTAACAATTCAGATTGTGTTTGAGAAAAGTTTGATTGTACTCATTTTACATTTCTTCAGCAATTGAATTGTTTCTTGTGCTTTTTGTAGCTTCAAATGGGAACATTGCAAAGCCGCTTGGATGCAGAATTCCTCTTGGCACAGATGTGCTCTGTCAAGTTTAAAGAGTGGATAGTGGTTTTGGCCACACTTTTGAGACGCTTTGAGGTACAGTTGACACTCTGTTCTGAGTTACAGGATATTATGCCATTTGGTGTGAACATTGTGAATGTTATTGGATCTGATTTAGCCCTTATCTTGCATTTTGTTTATGGGCAACAAATGCTAGAAATTCTATTAACCATACTTTTGAAGTTCACGTGACGTGACTAATAGAAATGCAACACCAGTTCCCAGTGATTTATTTTGTGATGGGCAACAAATAAATTCTAGTTAATTACTTAAGTCATTGATATTATCGCCAATAATGCTCAGTTTTAGCTCAAAATACACTGCTATTCTCTGTTTGGCTGTTTTATAAGTGGTCAAACTTCATTTTCAACCACACATTTTCTATCTATTTATAAATTAAACCGTTTTTTAGTCTTCCCAAGCAGAGGCTAAGTAGCACGAGTGATATTAGTACTGAGTTTCATCTAACATCGTGTTCATTAGTATCAGTGCATATGGTGTTGCATATTTTCTTTTTAAGTTTGGCTCATCGTGAGCTTGTGACTCCGAGGAGGACATTCCAAATGAAATGGAATCAGTTTCAGACAGTTGACATATTACTTTTTCTCATATTCTCTCAGGTCCTTTTTGATTTGTTTAGACATGATTTGCGGTTATGGAAAGCATATAGCATTACTCTACAGGTACAAAAATTTTATAAACGTCTCTGTTAGATACCTGTATTACGCGTCTCACAACGTTTTGGTTGTGTACAATGTCCAGTCGCATTCAGCGTTCACCGAATATCATGATTTGCTGGAATCCTTGGAAGAAAGACTTTCCTTGATTGCTAATTCAGATGAGAAATGAGCTATCAGTATACCTGAAATCCATGGTTCAGACACTTAGCTCAAAGCAGGCCAACATTTATAGTTCAGTGATGAGAAATGCGTGTACATCTCGAGAGTAAACCTTTTGCTCTCCATGTTACAGACCCATGCAAATCAGTGTAAGCATTTTGTATATATAAAAATATACTGTAGCTGCTGCCTAGTTTAATTTTCAAAAGTACTATATTCTACTTCCAAATATCATAGAGGTTTTTTTTCCTGGGTGGGGTTGGGGTAAAGAATTTGTAGGACGATAACAATAATTTGTTTGAATAATACACACAGGATTCGTGCTGCACTTGAGTATTTTCTATTATTAAAAATATTCTTCTAGTTCAAAGTCATCCATTTACTTGAGCCTCCATCGAGTTTCTCTTCCTTCTCTATCTTCATATACAGATGGTAGATTACAAAAGTTGATCTTCACCTTTTGTTATATTTGCACAATCAATTTACAATGACGAAAATCGTGTTGTGTAACCGTAAAAAAAATAAAAATAATTTGTCACATTTTTAGATGAGAACTTCTTTAATCTACACATTATATTCCTCGACTATCCAATCATACACTATTCTCTTGATTTGTCAAATGGGTATTACCGATAATTAGTAGCACTCATTGTCATTATCATCCATTGCCTCTTCACCAAATTATTTTGACTCTTTCGTCAAGCTTACATTTGTCTAGTAAATATTTTATCATCTACCAACCTATTACCTCATAACATGAATCATGGAAGTTCTAATAGTTAAAAAGTTTCACGGGTGGAACTCTTTTTTGCCCTTACAACGATTCAAGTTATTCCTAGCTTAAAACCAGCCTTCCACTATCTTTAATATAATGACGACTCACTGCATATCTCACAATCAAAATTGACTCGCGTGAACACTTGAACGTTATTCTATGGCGCACTTGGTGCCAATGCATTCATGTCATCATTGATGTCCAAACTAACTTGGTTCCAACTAGCTAGCATGCTTGCATCAGTGTGCAGTCCATTTGAAAGCATTTTTTTGGGAGATGGAGCACTTTTACTTCATCTCAAGCATTGAGGATAGTTAGCCTGCCCCAGAACGCGATCCTCGTGCTTGTCATTTCTTATGGACTTTTAGGCTCGTAAAATGTTGCAATGTTTCTATGTTTGTTCTTCACTCAAGTAGATTCATCCGTTAGTCTACGACTTACTCAAAGGGACATCATAGAATATTCAATCCCACAATATTGATTTCTTGCCTCAATTCAGCTACTTGTATAAAATCTCGATAAATTGATACATTCGATTAAATAATGTATTTTTTTATCCCTACCAGGACCAACTGTCTAAATTAAGCTATACATTATGAGCATGTCTGCTGTGGATTACACCTGGAAAAAAAGGGATTTTTTGCCCGTTTGGTATCAAAAGTGGCCGTCCTTTTTGACCACTTGTGAGAGAGTGGGAGCTGCCAGCCAAAAGTAACTGTCAAAAAATGGCAAAAAATGGAAGAGAAAAGCCGCACTAGACAAGTCTTACATCAAGATCCTTACAGTACTACTTAGAACGTAATTTCATATGACATTAAATATTTACAAATAGAATAGTAACTTTCATTTGATGTAACTGAATTTTCAATGAAGTGTCGATTAAGTCAATAGAATTTAAATTGTTTCCATTGGGCATTGAACTTCAATTTAATTTCAATTGTTTTACTAAAATTTTAACTTAAATTCAATTTCTAGCACTTTGTCACCTGTCTTTCTGTCTTCCGAATTAATGCATACCACACTAAACATTCACATAATGTAATATTTAATTTTACCATTTTCATGTATAGGGCAACACATAGTAATTGCATGAAGGATCACTTTTGGCATAATTTTCCATTGGGGATGACGACACGTATAGAGTAATGAAATTTGAAATTAAATATGACCACCCAATTAAGAGAAACTAAAGTTCGATAACTCAATTAAGATTTCGTTTAAAGTTTAGTAATTGCGGAACTTATCCAAATAGAATAATACGTAAAGCGCACGAATAAACCTTTTTTTTTTGGAAAAGGAGTCTCATTAATTTTATTTAAATGTTCATAAACACCGAATATTTGCTATATTGCAACGAAAAGATATTAGATACAATATTTTGACATAAAAGTTTTTTAATTTATCATAAATTAAAATTCACCCCGTAATATTGGGATTCTGAACCTTTCAACTTCGTGACATTGTGAAAAATGCCCCGCACAAACTAATGTTTATCTTCCAAAACGAATCTCGTGCATAACTTTTGGAAGATTAAACATTTCGACGTGCTAAAAATCAAACGCTTGAGACGCTAATATCACAAGGTTGGAAAGTTTTTGGGACCCAGGAGGAATTTTCCCTTTTCTTTTATATTTTGGACAAAATTTATGGACCTTTTACATCCCATTTGGCTCCAATTACTCCACTTTATAATAGTAAATTTTTGGAGAATGAAATTTTTTTGAGTTTACATGTAGGCTCTGTTTGATCCACATTTAAAAAAAAAAACATTTTTTCAATACTCAGACCCTGTTTGGTCCACATTATTTTTTATATTCTCATTCTTCTACTCATTTTCAACCATACATTCTTTAATAAAATAATATTTTCCATCACATCAATAACTTTTTCTTATTTTTCAACCACATATTCCCCATTATATCTACAGTAAAAATACATTCTTACATTCAAAATGTGCACCAAATGGGGGCTCATTTTCAATAACACAATTTTCAATAAAATAATATTATACGTAAATTCAAAATTTACACGCAAATTCAAATTTTTTTTTTATTTTTTAACCATATATTTTTCATCACGTCACTATTTAAAATATATTCTTTCCTTAAAAATGTGCATTAAACAGAGGTGTAATATTATTTTGTTAAAAAATGTATGATTTTTGATTAAAAAAAAAGAGTAAAAAGAGAATTTTAATTTAATGGGCCAAACGCGGGCTTATTGTGATGCATTCTAGGACATTTTCGTATTGCTAGCAAACGACGCCGTCTATAATTTTCACTTTTTCCTTTTACCTAGTACACAGGTACAACTGCTTAAATTCATATAAATCGAAAACCCCATCTCCACTGTCCCCTTCTTGCCCCTTCTTGCCCTGCAAAACAAGTTGAATCCGCCATGGCGTTTCCATACATGGAAGCCGTTGTTGGTATGTTTTTCTTTATCCATTACATGTATACATATTACGCATATAAAAATTATTACACCTTCTCCGTTGATATTTCCTCTTTTTTTTTGGAAACTTAACTCGTTGGTGGTTCCTGGAATTCGTGTTCTTCTATTGTTGGTATTTTATATTTGTTATTATCGTGCTCGAATGGGTATGTTATATATGACTGGAAGTGGGTGTTAGGGTTCTGAGTACATTGATTATGAACCGAGTGATAGCTCTTATAATTCTATTATTTTGAACTGTTTAATGATACTAGAGTATCTCTGATCCAAAATCTGTAGTCGGGGCAGTGTTCTCGAATCCGTTCCAGCAAGATGTTTGTGATATATGAAAATGAACAGTTCTTAATCATCAATAATGTTAGTCTTGGTTGACCAAAATAGTTTTGTTCCTAACATTTAAACCAAGCCCTTCTAAATGTGTTACTATGATTTTGTGTCTCCAGCCTTCAAGTTAGATTACTGATCTTCAAATTTGCTAATTGAACATTTTGATTGTAGTGACGTGTCAGGAAAAAAGATATGTGAAGAAATCCAATTTTCTCCATTCATTTATTTGAGATTTTCCTTTCTCTTTGACCCCACCCACTTTTTTTGGGCCTTTGGAGGAGAGTACAGGTTGAATTTTACAAAAAAGTAGCTAACTTTGGCCTCTGTCAGAATTGTAAAAATTTCCTGCATGGTATACATTATGTGGGATGTGAAATTGGCACTTTCAACGCTTTTTCTGCATTTATTTCCGCACTTTGTCAAGACCATGGTATTTCTATATAACTTGTGATAATTGATTGAATGTACAATTTTGTTAATAATCCGATGTTTGCTTTTATAATTCCTCTCTTCTATTGTTTTTAATTCAAATTTACCTGTTTACCACACCATATTTGTTGTCTGACTGCTTGTTTCTCTCTCTCTCTCTCTCTCACCTTTTTTTTTTTCTGGCTTGGAGAATATACACTAATATAATAATTGTGCTGATTGCTGTTCTATATCTGGTTTCACTTCCTTTTCCGCCACTAATTTGGCTTTGGAACATTTCAGGCTTTATGATATTTGTGTATATTTTTGAGACTTACCTTGATTTGAGGCAACATGCTGCTCTCAAGTTACCAACACTTCCAAAACCTTTGATGGGAGTAATTAGCCAAGAGAAGTTTGAAAAATCTCGTGCCTATAGTCTTGATAAAAGGTTGATTATTGCTAATTTTTGTTCGAAATGTTTTTCAAGTATGGTCTGGTTTTTTCATGCATGTATTTTCCAACTAACAACAAGTCTCTTTGTTATTGGTTTTTATTTCTGAACTTCAGCTATTTTCATTTTGTTCACGAGCTTGTAACCATACTTATGGACTCTGCAATTCTTTACTTCGGGATATTGCCCTGGTTTTGGAAGGTAACTGCTTCTGTGTTTCTTGGAGCTCCTCTGTTTAAGAACTTTCTGTTGACTTCTCCTTTTATTCTCTGACTGTAGAGGTCAGGAGACTTTTTGGTACATTTTGGTCTCAATGCAGAAAATGAGATATTCCACACACTTGCATTTTTAGCAGGCGTTATGTTATGGTCACAGGTGCGTATACATGTCTTCTTATTTACTTAGAAAGTTATGAAATTTTCTCATTTACAAAGGTTGGTCACAGTTACTGGATCAGATGGTCTGTCTTTGTGTTTTGGGAATTTGCTTTGCCTTGAGAATAATGAATCAACTTCAAAATAGCATTAAGTCATTTTGTAATTTTTGAAAGAGGTTTTTGCGGCTTTTGCCTGATAAATCTTAATGTTATCTTTTCCAAATTTTGCGAAATTTGATTATTGTGTTGCATACTTCAATTTTTTTGGTCACTGTTTACTAAAGGGCTCTGAAGCATTTCAGAAGCTGGATGCTTTCACGAGCATTCATCAGGTTAAAAAATAAGATCACTAGAACTTCTTCTTATGCTATAGAGAGGCAATATAATTTTTAAATCACATATTGTGCCTCATTATCTGAAGGTAAATTATGATCTCTATCATGGCCAATAGCATAAGATTACTTTCAATTTCTTGCCGGATGTACAGTTGTGACATCTTGATATCTAGGATACTAGGAACACAAGCATTTGTCACAATTCAACGGATTTAAGTATCTGTATATGAACATCTGGTATTGACGGTTGTTTTAAATCCTTACACAGATAACTGATTTGCCATTTTCTTTGTTCTCAACTTTTGTAATCGAGGCTCGCCATGGTTTCAACAAGGTATTTACTCTGACTCTTTGTGCCATTTTTAGTATTATGAGAACTTTTCCGGCATGTTGTTTCTTTATATCCTATCTCCGTAATGATCAACTTATTTCTTTGAAACTCGAATTTTCTTTTTCCAGCAAACAATATGGTTATTCTTTAGAGACATGATAAAGGGGATTGTCTTAGCTATGGTGATTGGTCCACCTATTGTAGCTGCCATAATTGTAATAGTACAGGTACATTTTCACTGTAATAAATCTGCTAATGGTAATAGTTATTTATGCATCAACTTGATATTTTTGCTACATTTTTAATTACATTTTATATTTTGATTTCTTTCTGGTTAAAGTTCTCAACATTTATAGACTGGGAATAATCACTTCAGCAATTATTGACAGAAAGAAAGAGATTAATCACTTAAGTGAATGGTAATGTCTTTTGGTTGCAGAAAGGAGGTCCCTACTTGGCCATATATCTGTGGGCTTTTATGCTTGTTCTGTCTCTTGTCATGATGACAGTTTACCCAATTTTGATTGCTCCACTTTTCAACAAATTCACGCCGGTAGGTTGGGTTATCTAATTATTTTTAACTTGGAAAAAATTGGCATTCTATCTTAACTAGCCAATAAGTGGAAAAGTTGTGGATTATTTGTGGCTGACTTCATCATCTGTGATACCTTTTTGGATTGTTCTTTTATTTATTCATTAGTTTTTTGGCCAACAAATAGCTCCCAGATGGAGAGCTTAGGGTCAAAATTGAAAATCTTGCTTCGTCTCTCAAATTTCCCCTGAAGAAGCTGTTTGTTATTGATGGATCCACAAGGTCAAGCCATAGCAATGTAAGGATTTTTCTTTGTATATCGTGATTGTTTCCCAGCTTTCTTTTAATGGGTGCGTTTTATTTGAATTTTTATAGACATGTAAAGTAGATCATTTTTTCTTATTTATATCTTGGATTTTCTGCTGTGCAAGAAATATGGTCTTTATGATGATGTGAATCTGCGCTTAGCCAAATGGTGTTACAAGTGTAGGATAATATATGCTTTGATTCATAACTTCGAATAAGTGTTGAAAGGAGTGGCTTTTTTCCCTTTCTTTTATCATCCTCTTTTTTAACCTTTTGAACAAGTTTTTTTTAACTTATTTTTGGACTCCAACAAAAGAAGCCTTATTCCATATAAATGTAGAATCTGCAATACTTGTAGCCTTCATCTGGTTTGTGTATGAGAAACAAAACTTGTAAATAACACCCCCCCCTGCCCCGCCTCGCCCCACCCAGCCCAACCTCCACAAGTAAAAAAGGGATGAAAGAATACTAAAAAGAATGACTTTGTTTTGGAACCCATTGATTGCTGCAACTTATAAACCTGTGGCACTTGTCTTCTTACATCTATTAGCACCACTTTAATGGGGGGCAGATTAGTTTTTGGCTTTTGTTTTATATGGTCTGCACGTATGTAGAGTTGACTTCTAGATCCATGGCCTTGCACCTTACATTATATCTTCAACCATGCAAGATATATGAAGAATAAAATAAAAGAACAATGCTACATTTTTTTGGAAAAGTTGATAGTCTTTCTAAATTAGAATGAGTTGTCCCCGTTTTATGGAAGAGTAATGCTGTGTGTACAAACTGTGGATGAATCCCCATGTGAGGTGGCATTAAACGGTAAGGCCAATAATCTAGGTCTCATAGCCACAATTTAATTGATCTTATCATTTAACCCAATATCATGTGGGGATCAGCCCAACTTTGTACATGTTGTATTGTTCTCTATGGAATTAGCAATCCCCTCTTCTACAAGCCAACATAAAACACCACCAGCACCTCTCATGTTCCATATCTTGCATGGTTGTCAAGGAATCTGATGACTTGTTTTAAAGTCATTGATCCTGAAGTAGAGTGTTCTAAACCTTGTGAGCCATAAAAATAGAAAGCTCAATTTATTGTTGTCCTTACTAGTGTTCTGTATTAGCAATCAATTTTGACTATGGGCTATTAGTTGCTGTTAGGGCTTGGCCTAAAAGTAAAATTTATTCTTTATGGTGCATATTTTCTGTTGGTGTAAAAAAACTGTATTCAATTCAATGAAGAGGTCGTCAACATGCGATAGGATGACCTGAAATGAAGAGGTGAGATGTAGTATGCTATTACTGAGTACACAGTGAGTATGATTCTAGCAGTCAAGGGCAAGTAATTCCCACTTCCACGTGATGACCTGAAATTAGATTTGAAATCTAGTACTCTGCTATTGAGTATATGATATGATTCTGAACTATTGTAAGTATTTATGATGTCACGCATCGAGATATATGGCTGTTGAAGAAGGAATCAAATGGATCTGGAACTGACCCTATCACAATTGAGTGAACTCACCTTTACAATTGTGACAATATCCATGTTTCTTGTCCTATTCAAGAGGAGAAGGTTTTTCTTGTTTCTCACTGTCGATGCATTATGTTTTAATATCTGTTTCCTCTTAACTTTGGCCTTTTTGAAATGTTTCCTATTTGGCTCTCCTCGTGCACCTATTACTTTTGACTTATCTAAACCCCGCATTTCCATAGGCATACATGTACGGATTTTTCAACAACAAGCGCATTGTCCTTTACGACACATTGATTCAGCAGGTATGGAAGCGCTATCGTTCTGTACTTGGAAATATGATCTTCATTTCCTTTTATTATGCTTCGAGTAAATTGGTGAAGATAATACTTGTTTAAAAATAGCTTAAGGAATATCCTTTTTAATCCCTTGATTTTCTTTTTTTCCTTTCTTCTTTTTTTAAAATAATTGCTTTTCACTTATTGACTGATGTTATGCAGTGCAAAAAAGATGAGGAAGTTGTTGCCGTAATAGCACATGAACTGGGTCACTGGAAGCTTAATCATACAATGTACTCCTTCATTGCAGTTCAGGTATGTTAGTCAATATCTAGCAGGCAGAATAAAATTACTTATTTGGGTATATAGAATGGTGAACTAAATGTTGTTGCTGTTCTCGTTGTGCGCTAAAAAATATTGCATTTTTCATGTATACTCTGAATGATTATGGTCTAACTATATATTTTATGGAAAGTGTGTGAGAACTTAAATGGTTGTCTTCTTATCTTTTGTTCAATATTAGTTAAAATGGTACATCGTATACTTGAATGACATTTTCCAATTGTTTCCTTATCTGTTGATCTTAACTTTATTTATTATTTTCATATCAGTAAATCTCATCCTGTAAATGCATTGATAACGGTGGAAGAGGCCTAATTATTATCCAACGAGTTAAAATGCTTTTCATGTTCCTGGAACATTCTCTGAAATTTTTAATTTTACTTTCCTTTGGAACATAACTTGATGGTGGTAATTAGAATCGTTAAGAGCTCTACTTATATAATTTTTGTAAATTGGACTACTTAGTGATCTGTTGTGAGGTTGATGATTGTAAAGGCTGGTTACCATGGTTGAATTGTCTACGCAATCATATTTTGAGATTATTTGGTGGCACTATAAAAAAATTGAACGAGAAAAATAAGATGTAATTTAAGGTACCAAGGGACTTTTCACTAATATTGCTGGAGCTTCGGTACCTGCCTCATGTTGTGCTTATATATATCAAGATTATCTGGCTTTTGAAAATATGAACTTATATTCTTGTGCTATTTATGGAAGTATTTCATCATATCCAGTCTTTCTGATGGTCCCTTTGAGCCCTCCAGGCTAGGTATGCTGGAAAGAGTAGTTGGTTGTGAGCAACAGTGTTGGAATAGTAATTAAAGTTTCTGGAATAACCGTGGATTCTTATGCTTAATAAATTGGATAAAAGCTTTTCATTGGAAATGTGGCTGATATTTATACTTTCAATTCTGACCGTGCTCTTATCCAAATGCAGATCCTCACATTTTTGCAGTTTGGAGGGTACACGCTTGTAAGGAACTCAAAAGACCTCTTTCAGAGTTTTGGGTTTGATACACAACCTGTTCTAATTGGGCTTATCCTATTTCAGGTATTAATACGGTATAGTTAAACTTTCAGCTTGTTCTAAAAAATTTAAGTTGACCATCTATTGGCTAGTCTTCTCATTTTCCTTGAATGCCCTACAAGGAGCTAGATTTAGTATTTGGGCAGCTTATCATTTCCGCAATAAGCAATAATTGGCTAGTCTGGTGAAACACCTGTCGCATATGTGTATATGTACGTTAGAACATAACATCTTCGACGCTGGTGTTATGACTATAATTTGGTTTTTATGGCTGGTGTTTTCAGTGGATGCAGCAAGTATTAATTGATTGTTTCAAATGATGCTATATTACAAAATTATTACTGTTTTATTGCTATTAATATGTATTATATATTAGTATTATTGGTAGTAATAGTTGTCATAGAACTTTCATGTCTTTATGGAGTGAGGAAAGCAAAAATTTTCTTGACTATGTACTATAACTCTGTTGATGTCGGTCGCAGCACACCGTGACACCTCTTCAACATCTCGTGAACTTTGTTCTTAATCTTGTAAGCCGAGCATTTGAATTCCAGGTAACCTTCTGATGAGTACCATAGTTTTCTGATTTTTATTTTTTTGTACTAGACCATTTTCAAACTCTTACTAATCAATTTTCGCATCTTTTTTGTTTCTCAAAGGCCGATGCTTTTGCCAAGAAGCTTGGATATGGGTCGGCACTTCGCGCTGGTCTTGTGAAACTGCAGGTGATTTGTCTTTTGCTTTCCCCATATGTTTAAAAATATGAATATTCTGCTTCTTTATTTTTTTACTATTCAAAAATGGTAATTGTGGAATCTCCATATATCTCGTTTTCTAAATTCAATTATAATGGTGTAAATTAACTACTTACAATGAACACGTGAAAGCTGGTGATGCGAACACATGCAGCATGTTTGGTAACAGTTGAGGACAGTAGTAGACAATAAAATGGCAAGATGTTTAACATTTTTTCTTTCTTAATATTGTGATTATTGACCTATCCACCTTACCAAGCATGTCGATAAGCTTCCGTTTGAACTCCATTCTCTAAAAACTTAGGGGCTGTTCTCTTTGTGTTTCGGTTGTGTTTTAAGTTTTGAATTCATTTTGGGTTTTGTGTTTTGAGTGTTCATTTTGAGATTGTTGAAAATGTGTTCTTTTTGACATTTTGAAAATTTGTTTTGAAAACACCCAAAACTACAAATTTGTCGTTTTGAGTTTTCTTTGTAAATTTTTAACTTATTTTCAAAAACGCGTTTTCGAAAATAGAAAAAAGAACGCGTTTTCATTGTTTTGGAAAATTGAAAACAGAAAACAGTTTGAAAATGGTAAAGAGAACAGACCCTTATTTTTTCCCAAACTCATTTTAAACTACACATTCTCTCAATAAAATAATTTTGCATATAAATCCAAAATTTTTCCTTACTCTTTAACCGCACGTTCTAAAAAAAATGATTATTACAAAATTTATTTTCTTAAAAAATGGGGCTCAAACAGAGCCTTAAGGCTATCCATATTTAAGTGGTTTATTATTTTTATAGAGGTCTTCCTTAGTTTTCTCTATTGACCAAAGTTAGAAATAAATAAGTTACTTATTTTGACATGAAGATAAAAGTTACTTCAAAATAAGAAACTTTTTTTTTTACTCAAAAGTGAGAATAAAGTAAGTCATCCAAAGTTGGGAAATAAATAGTTAGTTAAAAGGATATTTTTCTTAAAATGAAGTTTAGCAAAAGATGCTCATGTCGAAATTGCTACATTTACCAACTCTTTGGTTGTTTGACAGGAAGAGAACCTTTCAGCCATGAATACCGACCCCTGGTATTCTGCATATCACTATTCTCATCCTCCTCTGGTCGAAAGATTAGCTGCAATTGATGAACCCGATAAAAAAGCAGATTGATCGGGAACTATGGGCATGCTGGAACTGAGTATGATCTACTCATTTTACACTTCAAACTGGACCCACTGTAATCACCAGAATCAATATTATGTGTAGCTCTCTCTTTTTGATGCCATGATCTGCTAACAATTTTCTGTTTAGCTGTATATAAAAAAAAAATCCTAGATTAAAGGGTAAAGAAAATAGCACACAGAAACTAGACTAACTTCATTAGTTAATTCTTGAACGAGGGTTGTGTTTTTCAGGAAAAAGAAGTGGCTATGAGAAAAATTCTTCTTTTCTTGGAACAATTAGAAAAATACTTAAAAGTCCATTATATTTCTTAATTTAGAGGACAATTATATTGGGAGACGATTGTGCGAATCTAACGGTTAACAGGCGGTAAGGCAAAGAAAGGGTTTGGTAAACTATATACAGGAAAATCTTTTCAAAATACTAGAACTCTTATTTTCACAATATAATTTTTTGAACATTGTTAGGGGTACATCATCCTATACATAAGGGTCTACACTCCTCTCACATGGGGTGGGACCCGCTCGAATAAAAAAATATTATTTGAATGGGTCCCACCCCTCATGTGAGGGGATGTAGACCCTTATGTACAATTTTTGATGTACAACTAGAATAATTCTAATTTTTTTTAAAAAAATAAATATATGACAGTTTTATAAATTTCATTCTTATTTTCAACCTTTGATTAATTAGTACATATTATTCAAAAATTCTGTTTGTTTGCTTTGAAATAAGGGAAAAATATTTCAGTTGTTACAAATTTATTTATCAACAGATGATGATGCTCGATTTGATTTGGTCGAAAACTCGTTAACCAAATAGGAAAAAAAAATTCCCTTACTTTATTTGACATTTTATCTGTCTGTAAAAGATTATGTGAGTGGTGCTATAAAGCAAGTCTTTTTCAAAATATTTAGCCCCTGTTTGAGCTACATTATTTTTTCATTTTCATTTTTTTACTTATTTTCAACAACATATTTTTCAATAAAATAATATTTTTCATCACATCAATAATTTTTCCTTCTTTTTTAACTACATATTTTCCATCACATAAAAAAGCATTCTTGGGGGAAAATGTGCACCTTAATTACACTTTTTGTTTTACTATTTTTTGCTTATATAAAAATACGATAAACAAATAAGTGTTTTTTAATAATTTTTTTTACTGAAGTTCGTCATCATGGATAAGATGTTCTNGGGGGGAGGGGGTGCCGGGGTGGCCCCGACTTGATGAGTTATTGATAGTGTTTTAAAAAGTATAAAGCGTGATTAGATGGTAAGGACAAGCGTCAAGGCCAAGGCCAAGGTGAAGCAGATCCCAGCCATGTTTGAGTTCCTCGAAAATTCACTTTGGAGGTTAAGGCTCCCTTGGTTGGGCATACTATGACTGTTTCTTTCATTATTTTGATATGAATGTATGGACGAGCGGATGCAGCAACTTGAAAAGACCATTTCATTTCTTTCTACTGGCCAAGGTGAAATCAAGAGACCAAAACTGAATTCATGTGGAGAATAACGTACATGTTTGAAAATTGAACACAATGATGGATCAAATAGCAGGAGTTGAAGAAAAAGAAGAGTCTTGGATTGTATGTAGAATACTATCATCCAATGGAGGAAAAATGAAGGTGGTGATATTGGTGAAACAGAAACTCAAGACCCCACCTTCTAATTTGAAAGAAACCCACACGAACCAATCTGTTATATGAAATCATCGCTGTATAAACTTTAGTTTCAGCATATATTTATTTTTGTACAATTTTATATCTATTTAATATTTTACTCTAAAAGAGTAAGTAGTTGGATGGTCATGTCCTTATTTCTTGCTAATTATTTAATATTATAGGTGTCAGGACTTCCTCTTAGGGCCACTGAGGCGAGTGTCCGATCGTAAACCTCAAGGCCTTGTGAGATTAGTCGAGGTGCGCGCAAGCTGATCCGGACATTCACGGTTATAATAAAAAATATAGGTGTTAGTAACTATTATCTAAAAATTAGTCAGACAATTCCAGATATCTTGTATCTCTATCTAAAGAGTTATAAAAAGAAAAGAAATGAAATGTAGTAAAGAAATTAATTGGTATTATGTTTTTGGACATTTGGTTATCTGGGAACTCAATTTAGAGGTCAAAACACTTTCGATAGTGCTAGCTATAATTTTTTTTTTGATGTTTCAATACAAATGCGTCGAATCATTTCTAATGGAAATAAATAACGTTACTCCGACTATGAGAAAATACTTTACCCTAGCCTATCTATTTCCTAATTTATAGGGAAATTCTAATTTAGATTATAGATTATACAATGAATAAATATTTGGTACGTCTCCAATAGGTATAGACATCGTTTGGCTCCCATTTTTTCCCATCCAAACAAGCCTCTATACCTCAGAATCTTGGAACGGCCCAATTCCACCGACTATTATCCTATTAAATTTCAAAAATAAAAAAATAAAAAATCTCAACCAATCATATTCGAAAACGTGTCCACATTCAGCCGCCGTTTTTCCACCCTCTCTCTCACCTTCTAGCAGCATCATACACACCATTTCCAGGTAATTCTCGAATCTTCTCATAAGCTTTTTACGACTTTTGGTGTTCTTTCTTCCAGGTAAAAATCTCTCACTCTCACTCTCACTCTCACTACAGACGATTATATATGTATACCTGTCTATGCATACACGAGTTCGAATTTTGTTCAATTATAATTAGCATTCGGAATCAGATATACGACTGACTTTTAATCTAGAGTTCAGTAGTGACATTCTGGGAGATCTTGGGCGTTGACTGTTTGAATCGGTGACGACCCGACCAGTACCGTCAGTATTTTAGGTGGCTCTTGGTTTAACTGTTATAATTAGGATTAGGAATTAGAGTTGAAATTTGGGGGAAATTTTGGGCGTTGACTCTTTAAATCGGTGGAGATCTGACCATTTCGGTGAGTATTTTAGGTGGATTATGATTTAATTTTGTTTATTTTTCAGATTCAACTAATTTTTAGTTTGTTGGTATTTACTTTCTTGATTTTCTAGATTGATGTTGTATAGGAATAATAATTTATGTAAAAAGTTGTAATCTTGAATGAGAATTATTGGATTTTTATTTTTATTAAAGCAAAGAGGATGAGAAGGAAATACAATTCCTCTGCTATTTCACTTTTACTTACAGTGAAAGTTTCATACTCGAAGTTTGTGACCTTTCTTAAACATTGTGGGAAATCAAACATTATATTTCGTTCTCATATCTTGGCTGAATCTTGGTACTGTAGTGATATGCTGATGTATAATTGTTTATACCCTTCTAATCTGACCAACAGTGTGAATAGAGTTGAAAAGGTCTGGAGGTGATATCTGTCTAATTATTTTATTTCGATTTGATTTGATTCAAAATACCCTTCGTCTCTTTGAAAATTGTGGCTGTATTGTTTTGTCAGTACTCAGGTTACTGTAGCCCCAGCCACAAAATTTTTGACATGGATGTTGTGAAAACACATTCCATTGTGCAGATGTGCGGTGCAGGCAGGCTTCCCCGAGGGCATGTTCCCGAAGAGGAGTCCTCTGTGTAAGCACATGTCGAGAATGCGTAGCACCATTTCTGCCTTACCAACCTCAGGAAAACCAATAAAAATCGGTACACACATGACTCAATGAATGAATGGATTTCCATGTCTTCCCCTTGCCTCCTGGATTCACTGTGTGAGTGGAAGGCACAAGGTTCTTTTTCCTAACAACCTCTACTCGATCAAAGTAATGAGAATGTGTCAAACTTACAACCTCAAAGTCGAGTTACCTTAGCTTTCCTTCTTTGTGAATGGTGTGCTTCCCAAAGGCCAAAACTGTGCAAATCCTTTGTGAAAATCTTTGATGAAATTGAGATGCCCATGAGTTGTAATTGATATGGTTTGATTTGTGTATGAGAGAAGTGATTTTTCGAGTTGAAATTTGGAAGAGAAGTAAAAATTTGAGTTTGGGTTTGAGTGTGGGATAAGAGGAATAAGAGGATTGAGGTTTAATGTGTGTACGATTGTATGAAATTGTGGAGTTGTGAAGATTTCATGCACACTATACCGGTTGCAGAACATAATTGAGCCCCTGTTGTCCTGAAAACTACTTTGTTTTTTAAGCTTAAATAACATTATTACAATAAGGATTGAGGAATGTGTGCTTGCATTAATTATTGATTGTAATACTTGGAAGTTGAAACATTCTCTCTCAGTGGTATATTATTTCCCTTTACTGCCATGTATCCCCCTAATTGACTGCTATGTACATTCTGTTGAGGGGATCTCCCCTCAACAGTATATGGGTATTCTTTTTTAGTATCTCATGTATTTGCTCTTGCTGTTATTGCTTCAGTTTGTATATTTAAATGAGTCGTCAACAAGATCCACAAAGACCTTTCTTCTCATTTGGAAATCCCTTCCAAATGATATACAAGGGCTCAAACCTGTCCCCGAAGCTTCTTGATCTGTTGAAAACTTTTGAGGTGACACTGGCTGAGAGGCTTAAAAAGCTTAAGCCAGTTGACAGGGAAGATGTCCTACGTTTATCATGGATGAGATATGCAATGGAGTCACTTTGTGCCATTCATACTGACATAAAAACCCTTATAACCGCACTTGAATTCCCGGTCTGCGATTGGGACGATAAATGGATTGATGTATACTTGGACAATAGTGTGAAGCTGTTGGATATCTGCATTGCTTTCAGCTCCGAGATCTCTCGCCTCAACCAAAGCCACCTTTTTCTTCAATGCGTCTTGCATAACTTGGAGGGGGCCACAAAGCAGTTTATGCGAGCACAATCGTCACTTGATGGATGGAGGCAGCATATTAGTTCAAAGAACCCCCGACTCGAGAACTGTTTTGCCATCATGGATAGTCTTGCTGAAACCATAGACCTGCCTAAAATTAAGAACTCTGCAAAGGGGAAGGTTTTGATGCGAGCGATGTATGGTGTTAAGGTGGTAACTCTTTTTATATGCAGCATATTTATTGCTGCATTCTCGGGTTCTATGAAGAATTTGATGGACCTACATGTTCCAGAGACTTTCTCATGGGCAGAAGCTTTTACTGATCTACGGGCTTCCGTAAATAATGAGATAAGAAACATTTATTCCGATGGAAGGGTCACAGTGTTGAAAGAGCTTGAAGCTGTTGATACAACTGTCAAGAAGTTGTACCCGATTGTACAAGATGGATTGGACCCTGTCGAAGCTGAAGTGGTGCAGTACTCAACTTCTGATTTAAGAATTCAGACGGAGAAAGTTTCGCAAGGATTAGATCTGCTCGCAAAGGAAGTAGATAGTTTCTTCCGAATCGTTCTGACTGGTCGTGATGCGTTGCTTTGTAACCTTAGAGTTGGCGGTAATGTCACCAACACGATGCAACCTACTGACGATATACAAGGTCAAGCAGTGAGATAAACTATGCATGTAAAGTCTCTCCTGTATACATATGGGTTTAGCTATTAGGTCTTGTGTTGTTAGTTTGATTATATACTAAATACCAAGTGTTTGTTCCTGGTTGTAAGACGCTTGAACTCATATAATCTTCAATCATGTAAGTTTGCATTGTCTGTAATTCTTGTTCAAGAATCTGCTGTCCCCCACATTTAGCCCGGCTCACGAAATTTGTAGAGCCGGGTTGTGCCGAACCTGATTGTCTAGGTCTGTGACGCGTTTTTTTTTTATCCTGGGTAGTTGACTTAAGAGTTGATCGATTGCATTTTACTCCAACCTGGCAACCGCTGTAAGCACATAATGATCCATGTGGCCATTTGTATGATACTTAAATGCATTAATAAAATGCAATAGGCTCAAGTTGACTGGAAAAATGAGGTGGAATTGATGGCAGCCAGCTTTGACTGATTTGTAATCGAATTATGTAACAAAATCCATAAAAATCAAACAATAAACAGGCAATCGACATTAAAGAATTCAATCAGTCATAAAGATATTGAAAATCAATTTAAAAATATAAGACGTTGTTAGCTATGAGAAGTAAAATAAAATATACAGTTTTACAGATTTTTTATATAGCTTAGAGTGAGTCTCTTAAGAAGTATGAATTTACTAGCATAGTATGCACCCCGTTTGGTCTCATTAAATTATAATACATTTTTTCTTTTTTTTCAACCATTCATTCTCTAAAAAAACNTAACTAGACATTTTTTTTCATTTCATTTATCGCACAAACTTTGTATTTTTATCAACAATTTAATATTTATGCTCTATTATTATAATTGCTCGTAAAAAAATAAAAGAAAAAGTGCATAAAAAACATAATATATGAATTCTAAAAAAATTGTTAGATTACAAAATGGTATAAAGTTATATCATAAACTTAAAATAAATTTGAAATTTATTTAAGATGCAAAATAATAAATAACAACATATACTATTTTACTTGATTTTTCTGGAAAAAAATTATTCATGATCTCTTTGATTGATCAATGAGTGATATTCCGAATCTTCATTACTAATGGAATCCAAATGATCTCTGAATTGATCAGGAGATCCTTTCAGTTGATTATATTTTGTTACTTGAACGAAACTATATCTTGTAGAATATATTGAATATTGACCAAACATTTCGATAAGTTATTTATCGTCCAAACATTACAAACTTATGCATAGTATACTTCTGGTCCATTTAAAATTTCATTCACTTCAGAGTTCAATGAATTTTTTGTTTTAACATGGTAAGTCAATTTCGAAATTTTCCAGTGTAGATGGCAAATCTTAACTGAACTAGTTTTACTTTAAAATTCTTGCAACAAAATTTTGAAAAATAACTGTTAGGGAATAAAGAGAGATTTTATAGAAATCGTCGTTTCGAAAGTATAAAACGTTGATGGGTAAATTGTAAATCAACTTTTACCACGGTCTAGGGGGAATGGGTGGGGTTCTCAAATCTCAACCACGACACGCGGCCGCCTCGGAAAAATCGTTTTTGTTCACGGGTTATGTCAAGTTATTCCAGCTCAAAAGTTCACACATTCAATCAACTTTATATCTCCGGAAATACAGGAAAATACTTTTCTTGATTAAAATTTACAAGTTTAGTCACCGAGAGTAAAAATGAGTAGAACAAGAAAAAAGTCATTTCACCCCAAATTAAAAAAAGCAATGAAGAACCAAGAAATGTCGAAAAGCTCTCCTTTTTCTTTCACACGCACCGACGACTACACAAAAAACTCCAAAATTATTGTCAAGAACCGAGTCTTTCAACTAGGGTCTTGAATAATTTTCATCTTTATTTTGGATTTTTCTGGGTTTACTGATTAACTTTTTTAGACATTGTCTTTCGGTATGTCTGTGGAATCAAGCTCTGGTTCAGGAGATCGTGGTGGACATAATATCAAAGGCGTTCCCACTCATGGTGGAAGATATATGCAGTACAATGTGTATGGGAACCTCTTTGAAGTTTCGAGAAAGTATGTTCCTATCAGGCCTGTGGGCCGTGGGGCTTATGGCATCGTCTGGTAAGAATCAAGAATATTTTTTTCTGCTTTCTTGAATTCAATCATAGATTTATTGGGAAATCATTTAAGTTTTTTGGATGATTTCTTAATAAGTTAATAGTGTGCCAATATTTTGGTCAAAACTGTTGAAATTGTATGTCATAATTCTGCAATTTTCATCGTATTTTGTAATTTCTGTGATTACTTCTGTAACTGTATGATTATGTAGTTAGTATAGATTATTTACATTAATAGATCTCCTTTTCTTTGTTGTTTTTAGACAGAAAAGCTTTGAAAAAAATTTATATCCTTTCATTGTTTCTGCCTCTTTCATTTTTAGATTATAGCCTGTTAAAACAAGTTCCATTCGACTTTGAATTGAACTCGCGATTTCTATCTTGTGTGAGCGGCTTTGTGAAACTCGTCAGGCCAAATTTTGTTTTATGGACCATCACAATCATCCCTCAAACAGCTGCCTATTATAACAAATTTTGTGACAATAATGATATGGGCAACTTCTCTATTGCCAGCTGGCGTGATGCAGGGAATCTGGTAAGGTATTATGATGATGCAGATATGTATGTAGTTTATATATAATAGTCCCATTGAAAAGCAATTCCTCCAACATTTTTCCTGAGACAGCTATCAATTCAGAACGCCGGTTCGCGTACTTTACCAATTCTTGCCCTTGTCCAATAGGTCCAAGGTTTTCCTTTTTAATTGGCTGAAGTATTTTTAGACCAATCTTAGCCTTGTTTGACCGGTTCCCAATGCTTCTCTTCAAATGTTCTTTCCATTTTTTTGTTTACCAATTCTGCCTCTAAATACTCTTATTTCATGTTATGACTACTTTATCCTTGCTTCCACATTGTAGTTTCAAGTTAATTGTCATTTCATACAACAACTATGAAATGTCGCTGCTTACTTTGCACCTATTTCGTCCTCAAGCAACTTGCAATATCTTCACCTAAGATCATCCTCTCGGCAGTTTTTGGACTAAAACTCCAAACTCAACTTAGTGTCAGTCATGACCTTGAGTTTGAGGTGATGTTAACAGTGTCCGTTAGAATTTCTTTAAATGTCTTTTAGGCTATCACAATGCCCCAGTTTGTCTCTGACTCTCCATATAGGAGATTCCCAGCGATATCGTGTCATTATAGAATTGTTAATTTGTGGTCTTGTAAACAGGATCATTCTCTTAATTCGTAGACAGGAAAGAAATACAGATTCTCCTATTGTTTTCATTGTTTTTTGTCTCGTTCATCTTTCGTTTATAATTTCTTGTGTTAGGAATTCAAGTTTGTGTTTACTTTCTTGGCCTGTTTGCTAAATGATAATGTAAAGAAAGGTTCACTTCCATGAACCATGCTAAAAGGGGAATGGATAAAAGACAATTTGGTTTGTTCTGAACTGAATTAAAGATGTGTCAGTTATATTGAGGCACAGAATGATGAACTCTAGTTGCTTGTGAACTTGATTTCAAATTAAGTGCACAATAATTACTTATACGAGATTTCATTTCCATTAGAGGCTTACTACACTTCTTTTATCACCTCGTTGCCTCCAGATTGCATATACATCGCCTGCGTTTCAAATTGAGTGATACCTTTCAGTTTTTCGCTCGTATAAGGCAAGTTGGTATTGTAGTGTTATATTGTGTAACATTCATAATTCTGGAAAATTCCACTAAATAAGCAATAGATGGCATAAAAAGTACTAATATTTGGAAGTTAGCAGTTTCAAGAAAGTAATTCATTAACATATGCTATTCTTCTAGAAGAGACTGTTTGATTTAAAAGCCAATATGACGCACTACATTATTTTCTCTTGCATCACCAGTAAAAAAATCTCCTCCTAGTTCTAGTCCTCGTAAAATTTTAACCACCTTGTGACTTTGGGGAAGGTGTTCAAATGAGTGTATAAAAACTTTGGAGTGATGGTGCGTTACATATGCAAATTGTGCAAGTGAATTTTGTTTTTTCATTTGCTTCAGCGCTGCCATGAATTCAGAGACACGCAAGGAAGTTGCCATTAAGAAGATTGGCAACGCTTTTGACAACAGAATAGATGCCAAGAGGACGCTACGGGAAATTAAACTTCTTCGTCATATAGATCATGATAACGTAAGTGTTGTTACCTATCCATCCTTGATACCGAAACTTGACTAAGCTATCTATTGCTGCCTTAGTGATTGTTCGGGAGAGATTTTCCGAGTGAAAAATGACTTTTTTTGGAGAACGTGTGGTTAAAAAGTAAGCAAAAGTTATGGTCTCATAGAATGGGTGGTTGAAAATGATTTTTATAAAATCTCTCCCAAACAAACCCTTAATTTGTTCATTTGCTTGAAACCTTAGTTCTAAAAGTTTGTTTCTTCTGGAACCTCAAGTGTTTGCAATAGAATTTGTAGGTCGAATCTTTGTCTTACTGCTCAAGTTTTATACTTTCGCAGGTAGTTGCTATTAAAGACATCATACGGCCTCCACTAAAAGAGAACTTCAATGATGTCTACATTGTTTATGAGCTAATGGACACTGATCTTCATAATATTATCCGATCCAACCAACCATTGGCAGATGATCATTGTCGGGTTTGCCTCAAGTTCTTGCTTTGTTTATTTGCATTATTTTAATGGATTTAATAGAACTAAATGCTTAGGAATTCTAACTTCAATTTTGTAGATTAGTGACTGCAATATTTTAAAACTGGAAATTTCTGTAGAGGTGCTTCCGCATTACCTTATCAAATCTGCAAAACTTACATGCATGTCTCATGCATCTTTTTTACTATCCTTTTCTCCCCCTCTGCAATGGCCCGAAGATATAGGAAAGAATGGCAATAAAAGAGAATAAATAAACACTAGAAAGCTCGGTTGCATATCACCTTTCATTTACTTTAAAAAACATTTTTGATTGATTGTTTTTCTATTGTTATGATGAAGTTTGGCTGAAGTATTTAATGGATTGAGCTCTTGTACTTAATCCTGATCAACAAGTACAAGTGATATACCCAATCTGTCCAAAAAAACAAGTGCCACCAATCTACCTCTTTTTTGGAAACAAAAGTAAATGAAGTACCATATTTTTGTAAAAATTAACTCATAATAAGGTCTCTTTCAAAATGAGCTGGTGATGATGACATCTCAATTATAACTGTAATTATGCTTTATCACTTAATAGGTACCTGTTTGTCGACAATCAAACAGTTTTCGCCATTTAAAATTTAAGTTTTCTTAATCATACATTATCATTGTATATACCACTATGAATATATATAGACAAAGTTTTCTGTTCTACTTCACTAAATTGTCTTACCAGGACAGCTTAATTTATTTTCATTCTAATTTTGCAGTTCTTCCTTTACCAAATTTTACGAGGACTCAAGTATGTGCATTCTGCAAATGTCTTGCATCGTGATCTAAAACCAAGCAATTTACTCCTCAATGCAAATTGTGATTTAAAAATTGGTGATTTTGGACTTGCACGGACTACATCCGAGACCGATTTCATGACTGAATACGTAGTTACTCGCTGGTATCGGGCACCCGAACTGCTCCTAAATTGTTCAGAGTATACTGCTGCGATTGATATTTGGTCAGTAGGTTGCATACTAGGTGAAATCATGACAAGACAACCTCTGTTTCCTGGAAAAGATTATGTCCATCAGTTGAGACTGATCACAGAGGTACGTGTTTACAGCAATAGTGAATGCATATTGGGTGGCCTATCCAGTTTCTATTTGCTTCTTAAAAGTGACTTGAATTCTCACAGTAGGCCAAAATTCGTAAAGGTTTTATATCTTAGAAGTTATAAATTGATTCTGTGCTAGTCTTTTTATGTGGCTGTTTTTTTTTAATAACTATCTAAATGCACGATAAAGCCCGCATTCTGGTTTTGATCAACTTTTCTTTTTTATTCTAAAAGCTCATAGGCTCACCAGACGATGCGAGCCTCGGGTTTCTTAGGAGTGACAATGCCAGAAGATATGTTAGGCAACTTCCTCAGTATCCAAGACAACAATTTTCTGCGAGATTTCAGAACACTTCTGCTGGAGCTCTGGATTTGCTAGAGAAAATGCTCGTCTTTGACCCGAGCAAACGTATTACAGGTATGGTATGACTGCATTTAACGTTTTGAGTGATTCTGAAATTCAATGTTATATTACAACTAGGGGACTATGTCAGATCTCTTGATATTTTAGCTCAGTGCATGCTATAAACCATCGGAAAGATCAATAAGATACAATTAGGAAATCGAATACAATAACAATTATCTAAAATTCTGCATGTATCTGGCTAACAAGTCGTCCAAGAGTAGATAAACTGCTTTGGGAAAAGATGTTAGACGAGCACTAGAAATTAAATGACATTATATCTTCCGCATTGATGTTCAATTATTTCTTGGTCATTTGCAGTTGAGGAGGCTCTTTGCCACCCATACTTGGCGCCTCTACATGATATAAATGAGGAGCCAGTATGTCAAAGACCTTTCATTTTCGATTTTGAGCAGCCAACATTCACCGAAGAGAATATCAAGGAACTCATCTGGAGGGAATCGGTAAAATTTAACCCCGACCCAATTCATTAAGGACCATGATTATATGATGTTGACTACATGAGTATTCTTACATCTGTTGAAATCTGTATTGAACACATAAAACCTCAAAGAATTGTTCAGGTGATATTCGAGTTTGAGATAAAGTGGTCTTAGGTTCTTGTTAGAATCTTACTTGGCCGTTATATCCAGAGTGAATCCTGTACAAAAGAGCTGAAATAACGTGCCCTTAAAAGGCTTCTCCTTGTTAAAGATTATGTGATCTCCTTCATTTTATCGACATTTTTTGGATTTTTTAATAATTTGATAGCAAGGACTGCATTTCACATTTATTTGTAACGCCCTAATCGTATCTAAGGAGAATATTATGCAAATTCTGTTGTTGCTTTCATTGTTGTGTCTCAAATTTTTATTTCCAGAACTTTGTTTTGAGACGGGGCAATTTATACTTGGAGTTAGCTGTATCGTTGGTTAGAAGAGTTAAGAACTGTCTTCGCATTGCGGGGAGCTCACATTGTGGCTATCTTGGTAGTTAGCTCGGTAGTCAGTTAACGCGGGGTGATGTAAGAGAGTGAACTTAAGTAAGGTAAAAGGCTAAAGGAGAAAAGGCCCCTCTAAAGGAAGGGCTAAACTCCTTTCTTAGTAGGGGCTAGCAAGCGTGAAGCAACTTTGGAAGATTAAGGCACTACTTCCAATTCGCTAATTCTCACAATAGTTGGTCGATCGAAAACACCTGAGTAACACATGCACAATAGTGCAACCTATCGGACAAGATCACTTACATATGGAAACTTCAAAGTGAACAGTGGTCATTCTTAGTCAAGAAGAGGACTTCGATCCTCGTTTATCCCTAAAAATCTTTCCCAAAAATGTCGGTCTATACCTAACAGGGGAGTATATCTAGATGATGCAATACTTGCCTCAGTTTCTTGGTTTTCAACTTGAGGATCTTTTTTTTATTATAAAGGTTTACAATTTCTCAGTCTAATCTTGGCACAGATTCATGTGAATTGTTGATAGTGTTTTGTTACAAGTCTTTCATCTCATGTAATAAGGATAGATTGTTCTGAAGCTTGAAATGAGGGCTTTGACATTGGGTTCAAAATTGATTCAAATGTAAGTGCCAAGTCCATGCTATCAAACAAGGAACTAGATTTGTGAACCCAGAATCCAGGAGTTACACAAGTTTAGGACAAAACATAAAACTTATAGCAGTACATTACATTAAGGTATTCATACTATAAGAACATCTCTGTAACTCTATATTATCAATTGCCAAACTGTCTGAAGGAAAATCACACATCCCGACTTTCTCGAGACCTTGATCCGGCAGCAGATCACACGGTGGAGGAACCACGGCACTCGTAATACCTTGGACATCAGTACAAGTCCACGGGTACTTCTTGGCCTTCTTAGCCATACCTATAGTTGCATTAGAAATGCAAATACCTGTAAACGGATCACCTGAAATTCCTTCGAAGCGAGCCACCATCGACACATTCTCCGCTACTACATCCCGGTAATTGATCCCTTTAATCTCCGGTAAAGCTTTAGGATCATAGTGATTATCAGGATGAGAGCCATAATTTCCAGTCATCCAAAAAACCATTTTCATAGTATGCAAATTCATGCCTTTTACATAAATGTCTTTTACATATCCTCCTCTTCCAACTCCTGTTTTGATCCTGACCCCTGATTCTGTGTTAATGGCTGTGATTTCGTGGGCTCTTACATCCTGAATCCCACCTGACATTTCACTTCCTAATGCAATGGCAGCACTGTAGGGGGAAATGCACGTGAGCCGTCTGATCGTCAGCTGTTTCGTGGGCATACCATATTTTATACCGTATTCATCCCAACCGCTTTTGACTGCTATACAATCATCTCCAGATACAATGTAGGTATCCTCAATTCTTGTATTTGTGCAAGAATCTGATAATGTAGGAAAGTATTAGCAACGCGGTTTCTATTAGGAATTAAGCCTTAATCCAATCACGGGAGTATATAAGAGTAAAACGAAATTAGAAATGCACACGGTAAATACACAGATCTATAGTGCTTCACCCTCAATGTGAGAGAACTGCGNGGGGGGGGGGGGGGGGGGGATATTAGGGTGACTTAATACACCTAAAAACTTCATCGAGGGGATCAGTGTAAAACTTCATTTAAGAGATAAGCATAAAACGACTAATATAGTTAGGCTCCACATGGTCCAACAAAAGTTCGGTTCGGTTTGTGAAATCGACTCACCTGGGTTAATTCCATCTGTATTTGGGGATGTAACTGGAGCTAGGATTGTAATGCCTTGAATAAGAATATTGCTGCAAATTTACACCAAAATATGTGAAATTGTGAAATGATCTTACTGAACTCAAAAAGATTAGGCCAGTGAATTATGATTATTACCTGCTGTAAACAGGATGAATGTTCCATGTTGGAGAATTCACGAAGGTTAGATTTGATATCTGAATGTTGTCCGAATGCATGATTTCAACTAGGTATGGTCTTGTGTACTTAAGCTTTTTCCTGTGAAATTGTTGCCACCAAAGAGCACCCTGCCCATCGATGGTGCCATTGTTACCTGATGATGAAAAGCAACCAATGATCAACGCTATTCGAGCACACATTTACTCGTACGCACATGTGCACGTTACTCAAGCGCGCGTATCAGAAACTTATGTTGTTACCTGTGATAACAACGTCTGTAAGGTTGTTTCCGAATATAAGACTGATGTATCTTCCACCAGCGGCGTCCCTTCCATGGCCATACGACGGTAAGGGATCAACCACAGGCCAGGTGTTTATATCCTGAAACAAAATGATTGTTTTCGTGTTAAATGAATGAAAATGTTAGTATTGATTGCAAGTGCACGACTGGTAGTGTGTAAGTAGACTACATGCACAGCTAGAGGCGTAACCCAGGCCAAGTTTTTATTAAAATTCAAGAATGAAAACAAACGAACACTACAGCATAGCAGTTGGTTTCGTGAACGGCCCCACAAGGGTCGGTTTCCCAGGCTAGCCCACTGCAGTACCCGTGTTGGGCTGCACTATGTCAAACCAGTCCACTTTACACCTCTATATACAGTATGCAGCCATCAGCCCTGCTTTTGATATTCACATACAGATCGAACCAGTCCATCTGCGTCGCCCAAGCAACCGAATGCACTGCTCAATACTATTGGTATGCTTGGTTAAGTAGATTGGCCAATTTTTTTTTTTATTCATCAATTTCAAAAAAAAATAAAATAAAAGGGTCAAAATTTTGAGATTATAATGTCCAATCTTAGCAACTACGGTGTCCATAAATATACGCCAACTGAAGGTAGTTCATGCACAAAGCTGAACTAAAGGGCATATTGCAGCTCAAATATTAAATGTACAAGAATGTTCATTTAGTAAAATCACATAGAAACTAAAATCGTGTAGCTTAAAAAGTTCCTTTTTAACTACGTAGTAGTTTGAAACTATATTAATTTTTTTATTGACTAGACTTGATCTTCTGCTCACTGTATGACAATATGCAGTGTTGCCACGTCATATCTCCACCACTGATGTAGCAACATCACATATTGGATCACACTGGGCATTATAACTCTTGCCCATTATGGACATGAGATCAAATCCGGACAAAAGTTACTTATTTTCACAATAACATAAGAGATACTAACAAAATAGGTAACTTCTACACTAAAAAGTTAGAAATAAGGAAGTTATTTATTTTGACAACAATCTAAGAGTTGCATTTAAAATAAGATAAAAAGCAATTTACTCAAATATGATTAGAAACAGACTTTACTTAAAAGTAAGCTTTAAGTACTACAAATTTTATACCTGAGAAGCCAAAAGAACTGCATCCCTATGAAGAAAAAGAGTGAAATGACTGGTGAGATTGAAGCTTCCTGTCAACCATTTACCCGCAGGAACAAAGAGTTGAGCCCCACCATCTGATGCATATTGGCTCAAATGATTTACTGCTTGTTGAAAAGCCTTTGTATTTAGTGTATTTCCATCACCAATCCCACCAAATTCTTCTATTGATGCACTGTGGGCTCTGCAGTTAATTGCTGAGTACTCAAAACTGTTCAAAATTTTTGCTTTTCTGCATTCAACCTTTTTTAGATTAAGCACTCCAAGAATCACCACAAGAAACTTGAGTGCCTCTGTAATCTGTATGGAAAAAGAAAATAGTTAAAATGAGTGAATTGTGTACCATATTGACTGGTTTCTAGTTCTTGATTTTCTTCTTGGATGGGTTTGGGACGCAGTACTGGATAGACTATCTAATCATCTCTACCGAACATGCCATGAAGAGGCAACGATAGTTATGTAGTAATATTCTCATATAAAATGATTGGTTAATAGTCTTAGAATTTGCATGTTTAGTACACAATACTCGAGAACTTATTCTTTAACAACAATACAGTTCAGTATTTTTCCCAAATGAGTTGTGAACAGAAGAAATGAGAGTAGGTGGATAAAAGCTAAGAGATAATAAGAAAAGTGTAGACTTACTGAAAATCTTAAGGAGATTCTGCATAAGCAGTCCATTGTAGGGAGTGGAATTGGAATGTGTTTGGTGTTATATAACTGACAAGCACAAGTATTTATAGAAGTTAAGCTGGTTACTGTATTTAATTATAATTAATTATATAAATCACTTATTTATTTGGTTAGATTATTGTAGGCTCTTTAACAATATATAGACAAATGTTCTTTCTATATTAAAGTTGCCTTTTCAACTGCTACAGTATTTGGATGTGCTTACAAGCTAAAATTCCGTTGTTAAATTGAGTAACTTTAAAATCATGATTGCGAAGTAAGTAATTTAAAAGAAAATTTGACTTACTTTCGAACACTACCAAACACTCTTATTGTTCGTTTCCTGTGTACACTCACTATCACGCCTAAAAAAGAATTCGAGATTCTAGTCTGTTTAGCTCGAAATTTCACCATTCATAGGCCCTGTTTGGGAAAGATTTACAAAATTCTACAGTAAATCAATTCTTGTTTTTAACCACACATTTCCCATCATATCACTATTCAAAATCAATTCTTTTCCCAAAAATCCCTCACAAACAAGCACATAACAAGATCGTTTAGAATATTCTCGAAAATGTCTCATAACTCTAGGTTTTTCATCTTGGACAAGGGTGAAGCCTAATGACCTAATTCATGTGTGATGAGTAGAGTAATGGACAAATATAGGTACATTTGAGCATCTTTAGTATTTTACTGACAAAATACTGTGAGCCCGTGACTGGGGGGTTTATGGAGGTAAAGTATTTTTGTTGAGATCCACTGGGTGTACAGAAAGGCAACCAACAGAAAGGCAACCAACAGAAAGGCAACAGATACGACACATTAGGTGGGGCCCTTTTTTTTTCCAATATTTTAAACTCACACGGGCCCACACCCATGTGAATTTTTTGTTTAAATTCTGTTGCAATCCTTCTGTACATTAGTATTTTCTCATTTTTGTTTGGGTTGTTGCAGTTGGAAAGAAGTTAGTGGGGTCCCATTTTCTCAACCTTTTGGAAGTTCCCATATTCCATCTCGTGAGCCTCAATCCACGCCACTAATGCCGACCCACTTCACGGGCATCATTTAGGCATGGCCCACCAATTATCATTATATAACTATTTTTCACTACCTCGTTTCAGTGCATGACACGTGTGAAATTTTTTATTTGGTTACCTTATCTATTTATCTTCGTATTATTCTACGTGTACATCAAATATTATATAATGTACGAGTGGTATTTATGTAATTGGTTTGTGGTCTTGATGTAACCCTGATGTACATGTGACAAAGCTCTTAACTTCAATATAAAAATCAAACTAAATTCACTCGTGATATTCTAATTCAATCACATATTGCTTTAATGGACGAAAAGCACAACCCTTGAAACATACTACGACATCCTTAGAATGGCGAAGAGCCGATATCGAGGTGCGAAATCTTTCCATCGATATGAGCTCTTGGAGAAGATCAACATATTATCGTCAGAGGCACTTTAATTTGTTAGTTTTTGATATGAAATCCGACGTTGTACGAGATTTCAGCTTGGATCGAACTAAATATAATTAAAAATTCTGCATTTCTTTTGATTGTGGTGGTCATCCCTAGGGACTAGAGAGGCAAATAGCTTGGGCGTAAAGAATTAGAAAGGGTTGTGATATCATTCTGAATGGCCACTAGTAGTGGGGATTTTGTGGCTGTAAAATTTCGTACTGTGCACTTCACGAGTGCCAAAATTTTGTAGATTTAATTTGTCTCCTTCACGGACCAAGTTTGCTTTTTCGTTTTCTGTTTTATTTTTCCATTACAAACGGATGAAAGACATTTGACGGTGACATTAAATCGTTTGTGTGCACGCTGAGATTGTGGAATATGTCGACTAATCTGCAAGAATATGAGATATAAACAAAGACAAGAATAATTAGACGCGCAAGCCAAACTCAGGCTTTACCTTGAAGTGGAAGGATGGTTGCTTGAATCGGGCTTTAACTTGAAGTGGAAGGGTGATTGCTTTAACTTATAGGTATTTGAAAATGTTACTCCTTGCCTCCGAAGTCTAATGAAGTAAAAAGAAGATCCAGTAGGTCAAACCTACAAAGAAGACGAATAGGTCGAGGTCCTCGCACAACGTTCGAAGTGTTGGGAATTTACTTAACATGCACAGCGAAAATAAAACAACTTTCAATTCCCAAACGAGGATCTGCAATGTGTTTAGATAGAAACTGTGATGAGAATGATACCTTTGATGAATTCCACAAACTCTTTTGCTTTTTTTTAAACTCCAATGATCACGATCTGCAATCCAAGTTGTCCAATTGTTCAGCCTCCAATGGTGATCCACACAGAGAACAAGAATGACGGCTAGGGTTTTCTTTTCTT